TGCCGGCTGGAATGCAGATGCCCGTCATCTCTGAAGTGCGGGCGCACGGCGACCACGTAGCTCGTGTAAGTGCGCCCCGTGCTGGTGCCCGGCACGAGCACTTTCACAGGAAAGCATCAGTGTGTCAGGTCTGTTTGCGGTGGAAGTGAAGTGGGTTTCTCCGGGTGTGTAACTTTGATGCTGTGAATCTGGGACACTTGTCTTTATATTATTGCTCTTAAGTTCCAAAGTTGACATGCTGTCATTTTTCAATAGTAGAAATATTTCTGAGCGTGACTGCATTTGGAGATCCAGCCTTTAAAGAAGTGAGTGTAGAACGAGGTCAGTAGGGCGGCCCCGGTCCCACATGACTGGTGTCCTAATGAGGGCGATCAGGTCGCACAGGGACGCGTGTGAGGACGCGGGCAGGAGGCGGCATCCGCGAGCGCAGGGGAGCGGCGCAGGGGACCAGCCCTCCGTCCTGCCGCTCCGGGGCTGTGCGAGCGTGACTGCCATCTGCGCTGCCCCGCTGCGGCCTGTGCCAGAGGCCCGCGCTGTCGGCACTGAAACGGGAGGTCCTATCACAGAAGGGAGAAGGGGAGAAGGACGTGTGCCCTCCCGCCCTCCCCGGGGACTGTCCATCCGGCTGCCTGCGGGTGGGGCAGGTGGAGGCAGAGCAGCCGGCTCTGCTCCCGGGGCCGGGCTGCCTCCCGCGCCTGCCTCCTGCTGCGTCCCTGAGCGTGATGACAGGTTAGACTGTATCACGCGAGCAAACTCCCCCAGCGTGGTCTCTGGAAGCCAATCGGGCGTCTCTGCTGATGCCCAGAGCGCACAGAGGAGCTGCGCCCCACGTCTGTGCAGGAAGGACCGGAAACGCCAGCTGACGGACGCGGGCTCGTCCATAATTGTGGGGCTCCCTGCGCTGTGCACCTGCTGTCTTCCAAAACCTGTTTTTCTTCTGCAGAGGACTCTGGGGGGACCTGCCACAGGGCACGCGGGACCTGCCCTCGGAGGAAATTGCATGTGAGACGCCTGAGCCTGGGAGGCCGGGACGACGACAGGGGCCTGGTGTTTGTGAGCACGGCCCGCACGCCGGGCACCGACCAAGCCCCTCCGGCTCCTGCTGGGGGGGGGGGACGTGAACAAGGGGACGAGCGTGTCTGGGTCACAGCTCCAGAAACAGTGAGCAGGGGACACTGGACACGGGGGCCGCCCCAGGACAGCCATTTCGCTCAGGCTCCTGGCTGGACCCCCAGCGGCCGGAGGAGCCTGTGGTGTCCGATGACCTCCCCACGACTCCGCACTCGGTCCAGGCAGGCAGCCGCTCAGACTCAGAGATGTGAGCATCCTGTGGGGCCACTGGAGACCCCGTAGCGCCCCCGCCTCTCTAACGTCTGCACTTGTCCCCTCTGGCTTTGTGGGGACGCCAGGAGCAGAGGGCCTCATTCCCTCCGGGTGGCTGGCGGTGCACTGACCCCGGGGCCCCGGTGTGCCCGTCCGGACCAGGTGGCAGGCCCGCAGCGGGCTGACGGGGGCCAAGGCCGCAGGGCCAGTTCTGGGCCCTCCTGCCCCCAGTCGGGGGGGGCCTTACCGCCTCACTGGTTACACACAGCGTTCTGGGAATTTTCACACCAGAAAGCCGCTCCCTGTACCCAGTGCCCAGCTTCCTGGTTCGGCCGCGGCTCCACCCGTTTTTCTTTCTTCTGGAACACGTCTCATGCCAACTCCAAACCTCATATTATTTTACCCATCAATACTCTTCTTTAGGCAAAGAGAAAACAAATCAGGGCTTAGACTTTAACTCGAAGGGACGGGACTACTGCCACAGTGAGGTCTGGAGGCTTCCCCGGAGCTGGGCCCCGAGAGGCAGGCGGCCGGGGCCCAGCAGGGCAGGTGAGACAGCGGGCTGGCGGCTGAGCGGGCTCAGCGGCCCTGCGAGGTGAAAACAGTGCAGCTCATCACTGGTGGGCCAAGGAGGGCTGCGGGGACAGAGGCTGGCTGGTCCTGGAGGAGTGGGGTACCCGAGTCTCCACTGCACCCCAGGGGAGGGCTTCCCACCTGGCATGGCGGTGTTGCATCGGTGGTCACATCTCTCCAGCCTCTTTTCCCCTGAATCAGCAGACCCCGCCTCCCGCGCCAAATGTGGGGTCACGCTGCTGTACAGGCCCCGGCTGCGGAGCAGCACCCACATCCAGGGCTCGATGGACATGCAGTCTTGGGCTCCCATGGCCGCCCTCTGGGTCAGGGTCCCTGCCCGAGTGCATCACCAGGGCGTCCACAGCAGGTGTCCACCCCCCCCTCCCCCCCGCCAAGGCTCCGCCTGCACAGGAGCTCGGGGACACGGCAGGGGGCCTGGTGGCGCCCGGCGAGTGGCAGCCTGCGTGGTCCCCAGGGAGGACGGCTCAGCGCTCTGGCCTCCATCACCATGGCAACGACGGCTGTCTCAGGGGGTGGGCACCCCCAGGACTAAAGTTCTCTGAGGCCGGTTCTGACTTCTAAGAGGCAGCAGCTCTTAACAATCGGGCGCCGAGAACCGGGGCTCCTGCAGGGAGAGGCATCCGTGGGCTGCGTGGCCCCCAAGGCGCAGGTCAGCCTGTGGATCTCACACGTGGCCGTGGCCCCAGGAGCCATCAGTGCTGCGGGGATGGCCAGCAGGCTTGCTCCTGGAGGGCGTGACTCAGTGTCCTGGATAATTGTGGCCCCCAGCTCTGAGGAGAGGTGCTCGGGCCAGGGAAGGTGCCCAGGGAGCTCAGGCCCGGGCACGCGGAGGCGACAGAGATACTCGGAGGACACGGGCGTGTGGCTGCCTCCTGTTCCTAAGTGGGAGGCTCAGGCAGACACTGGGCCGGGCAGCCCTGAACCTCTCACCCTCTGGCTGCTGCCCGCCCTGGGGCTCCCTGCTCCTCTCTTCCCTCCCCTACCTCCGGGGCTGGCCGCCCTCACCTCACGTGCACACAGAACTCCCGTCCGCCAGTTGCATCTGGCTCCAGTACACCTCCAGGGGTGCCGCCGTCACACTCAAGCCCACGTGCACCTGTCCCGTGGCCTGGGTTTCCCATCGGAGCCAAGGCCCACGCTGCTCTTCAAGGCAGTTGTGAGAAAGTGTGTGGCAGGGGTGAAGCTGGATCCTGACCCCGTCAAGAGAAGGGCGGAACTTACAGACAAGGAGACAAGGGGCGTCCCGGACCGCCGGGTGGGGGGAAGCCCCAGAGCCGCGCTAACACGGCTGGGAGCCGGGGCGCTGAGCGCCCGAGAGGTGGGGGCAGGAGCGTCAGCAGGTAAGCACGGCGACAGGAAGCAGGAAACGGGTTTAGCCCGAACGGGAGGGGATTCAGGGTAGCAGGGAAGCCCGCCAAGGGAAGATGAGCAGGTGGGAGAGGTGGGCGTGGGGGGGGGACCCCATGCTGGTGTGAGGATAAGTCCTCCTGTCTGCCGACTGGAGTGTCTGCAGCAGAAAGGACCCTCGTTGAGAGTGTCCCACGGAGGTCACGGCAGGGACCAGGGGGCTTAGAAAGAAGGGACACTGTCTTTCAAAAGCAGAACGCTGTGCACTAAGCTGGGGCCCCAGGACGCGGCAGAACTGGCCTGTGCGGCGGGGTCCGGCGGGCCCCCCACGTCTGCAGAAGCCTGACGACGGCTGGTGTTCCGCTGCGTCCTCTGCCCGCTCGCGGCCCAGCCCTGGACCGACCGGCTCCAGGCCAGTGTCAGCTGCCCGTGGGTCCAGTAAGGCCCGGGGAGACGTGAGGGGGCGCAGCCACATCTCTGCGCGTGGCCTGCGGGCACTACTCACGAGAAACTACTCGGGCGCCCAAGAAGAACATTTCCTCGGGGCTGGTCACCGGTGGACCAGGCTGAGTCTTTCTGCTCAGGCTCATCGTTTCTAAAAGGACCCTTGGGGTGAGGAGGGCTGAGGCTAGAAAGTGCCTTAAATCCAAAATTCAAAGAAGCTTGTATACCCCTTCTCACCACATTTGTAAACCAAAGCTCACAACACACTTCTGGCAGATTTTCTATGGTCTCCCCGACGACGTGACAAGCAGCTTAGACGTGGCTTTCAAGCCACAGCGTTAAAATCTCAGGAGAGCAACGTGCTGGGTCCAGGGCTGCCCGGGGCTCAGGGCTGGTGGCCCCCCTCCCCCTCGCCCTGAGGAATGGTTGCAGACAGCACCCGGCCATGACCCACACTCCCAAGATTCTGAACACAAGTTCAGGGAGAGGCGGTTGAGGAGGGAGCCCCCCATTCTGCCTCCTGTGGGGGCCCCCTGACCTGTGAACCCCAAGTCACCCCAGATGACAATCCTGCAGGGTGCACAGCCAGGCAGTTCCTCTGACCGTGTGAGCCCTGGCTCGGTGGGGGTTTTCCCGGGCAGGTAGGGCAGGGCAGGGCTGGAACCCGGGACCCCCTCCCCAGGCTGGTTTGAGGGGGCAGGAAGGGACAGGTCTGCAGGTGGGTGCCGGGGTTATGACCTCATTAACATGCTGTTCTCAGGTCTGAAGTGAAGACTGAAAAAAACAAGTGAAAAGTAAGACTTGCTCTTTTTGGGCATTAAGAAAATTAAAACAGGGCTCATAGGTCAGAACTCTGACCTTCGGACCCGCCACGCACTGAAGTTTGAAGGTATCTCAGAAGAAGCCCAACTCTATTTATCTCCCACCTCTGCTCAAAGCCCGGGAGGCCTGAGGGGAGGGACAGGGAAAGCTTTCCACCCAGCCAGCCAGCCCCGGGGCACACACTTGAGCTCAGGGACCCCCATCCCGCCCCCGCGTGCACCCCCTACATCCCATCCGGTGCCCGCGTGCGCCCCCCACGCGTACCCCATCCCGCCCCCGGGACTCCCGGTCCCATCCCGCACCCTTCCCCCGGGGCTTAACGCCTCCCACGCTCCCGGCTTCCGCAGCTCCGGACACCGCCCTCCGCCAGGGCCGCGGGAGCAGGTGCAGCCCCGCCCCCGCCCCCGCCCCCCTCGCCGCCCCTCCCCCTGCTCATCCCTCGGCCCCGCCTCCCGCCCCGCCTCCCGCGCCCGCGGCCCGGCGGAAGGACACGCGCTCGGGTCGGGGAGGGGGACTCGGCCCCTCGGCGTGCGCCCCGCGGTCCCCGCACACCCGGGCGCCCCCTCCCCGCCCTCCCGGCATGGAGCCCGCGGGGCGCGCCCGGGACCGGGTCCCCAGGTGAGCGCGTGGGGGCCGGGGCGCGCTTCGCCCAGCCTAGGGTGCGGGGTGCGGGATGCGGAGCTGGGGTTGTGGGGTGCGGAGCTGGGGTTGTGGGGTGCGGGTGGGTGCGGGGAGGCCGGGGCGCGCCCCCCCCCCGCGGGTCGGTCGCGGTTCCCGTCGCGCCGCCGCCCCCACGCGCGCTCGCGGCCTCGTCCCCGCGGGGACTCAGTGCGCGCGCGAAACTTTATCTAGGGCTCACAGGCTCCTCGTGTTCTCGTGTTGTAGGGTTGATCCCTACGGGTTTGAAAGGCCTGAGGACTTTGACTATGCAGCTTATGAAGAGTTTTTCTCCGCCTATCTGGTGACACTCACTAGAAGAGCAATAAAATGGTCCAAACTTCTGAAGGGGGGCGGTGGTGTGCAGAAGAGCCGCACAGGTGAGTCGCAGACGGGCCCCGACGCTGGGAGAGGCCGCGCCTGGGCAGCGCGGCCTCTAAGGGGCAAGGTCTCCCTTCCTCCTCCGACTTGGGGAGGCCCCCCCCCACCCTGGTGACCTGCCCCTGCCCCGCTCACTGTGGGCCTGGTGCCCCCCTCCCCGGGCCTGGTGACCCCCCCAGGGCCTGGAGCCCCCCCAGGGCCTGATGTCCCCCTTCCCAGGACCTGGTGCCCTCCCTCCCCGGGCCTGGTGACCCCCCCAAGGCCTGGTTCCCCCCCAGGGCCTGCTGCCCCCCCCCCCGGGCTTGGTGCTCCCTCCCTGGGGCGCTCCCTCCCTGGGGCGCTCCCTCCCTGGGGCGCTCCCTCCCTGGGGCGCTTCCTCCTGGGGGTCTGGGTGGGGGCCTGCTGGCGCACATCTGGTGTCCTGTGTGGTCTGTTTCTCCTGCTGGAGCCGCACTCCCCTCCCTGCCCCAGTGGCCTCTGTACTTGCTAACAGGGCTGTTGAATGAATGAAGTGCTCCCCAGCAGGTGGTGAGGGCCCTGGGAGGTGTGTGCTTCCTGGACTCCAGATGAGGGACGGGCTTTCTGCGATAGGACTTTAATGACAGAGATGGGTGAGGCCAGAGGTCAGCCGCAGGCACAGAGCTGTGTGGCCGGTATTGGGGACGTAATGAGGGCGTTCTGGTCGGGCAGAGAGGCTGACTGTAAAGAGGTTTTTTTTTTTTTTTTTAATTCATTTTGGAGAGAGAGTGAGCGTGCAGTCAAGTTCAAGTGGGGGAGAGGGTCAGAGAGAGAGGGAGAGAAAGAAACCCAAGCAGCCTCTGTGCTAATGTGGGGCTCGATCCCACAATCCTGGGGTCTTGACCTGAGCCGAAATGAAAAGTTGGATGGACGCTCAACTGACTGAGCCACCCAGGGGCCCCAGTAAATGGGTTTTTAAGCAAGGACGTGTGACAAGCTCAATTGTTGCTTTTAAAAGGGTTAAATTAGTGAATTGGGGCCCAAAGCGGCCCCAGTACATAGTGCAGTTGAACAGGACAGGTGGGTGGGGACAGGTTGATCTTGGGGGTGGGGCCCTCAGGGGGGAGGGAGGCTCTTTCCCAACACTGGGCCCCACCCCCAGCCTGCCTCTCCCTTGACCAGGGCTCCTTGTCAGGGCTGTTCCCGCTGGGGGAGTGTTTAATAGCGACTCAGGTACACTTGCAGTGCACACAGTCCCACAGGGCCGGGCGGGGCCCTAGGCTGCCGCCCCCCCCCCCCCCCCCCCCCCCCCCCCCC